AAAAAAAAAAAAAAAAAAAAAAAAAAAAAAAAAAAAAAAAAAAGTTCAAGGAAATGGGCCGGCCCGGTGGCTCACTCGGTAGAGGGCAGTGCTTGGGAGCGCGGTGGCGCTCCCCACTAGGGTTCGGATCCCATATAGAGACCGTCCGCTCACTGGTTGAGCGTGGTGCGGGCGTGACACCGAGGGTTGCGATCCCGTTACCAGTCATTACCAGTCACGAAAAAAGACAAAAATGAAAAAAAAAAAAGTTCAAGGAAAGATTCATATTATCTTTAAATTCTATTTTTCCACAAACTTTCTTTCTTTTTTTTTTTCCCTTTTTGTCTTTTTTTCATGTCCGGCAACGGATCGCAACCCTCAGTGTCGCACCCGCACCGGACCGGACCAGCAACGGGATCGCAACCCTCGGTGTTGCGCCCGCACCTCACTCAGCCAGTGAGTGGGAACCAGTCTGTATGTGGGATCCGAACCCTCGGCGGGAGCACCACCACACTCCAAAGCGGCGCACTGTAGCAGTGCGCCACCAGGCCGGCCCCTCCACAAACTTTCTGAAGTACCCTCATATATATATTCATATTAGTGCAGAGATTTGCTTCATTCAGTTTAAAAGGTGCATAGTATAATCAGCACCAGCACCGTCATAAACATTCTTGTGTGCCTTCTAGTGCTTTTGCAAGTACATATACACAAGGTAAATTCCTAGAAGTGGAGTTGCCAGTTCAAAGGATGTGTGAATTTTAAATTTTGTTCATTTTTTTTTTTCTTTTTGGTGGCTGGCCATTCCAGGGATCTGAACCCCTGACCTTGGGGTTATAACACCTTGCTCTAACCAACTGAGCTAACCGGCCAGCCCCCTAAATGTTGATAATTTCATTAAACTGCCTTCATAAAAATGGCTGAACCAACCTAGAATCCTACTAACATTGCGTTCTTGTTTCCTCACATCTTTTCTAGCTCTGTATATGATAACTGTGAAACCTTAAAAATAGGTTCTCCTATTCCAACCCATTTTAATCAGAATCTCCTGGAGTAAAACCTGAGCATCAGTTTTTTAAGAAGCTCATCAGGTGAAACAGATATGCAGCACATTCTTTTCAGTCTTCTAATTCACTCATTCAACAAATAGTTACTGCAAATCCTACCACGATTAGCCCAAACCTAGCCAACAAACACTTGAATTCTTAAAACAACAACAACAACAACAACAAAAACTTGCTCCAATTTTCCTTCAGAGAATGGGAAGCAGGGGGCAATAACCACATAGTCCATATAGCCTGACCTAGTGGGCACTAGGAGGCTGATCTCTGCTTGCTTTGGGAACAAGGCTGCTTATCGCCCCTAATTTGAAGTAGCTTCAAATTAGACTACTTCTCAATAATTCTTGTTCCAGTAGCACTCTTCGTTACATGTTTTCCTTCTTGATAACTCCTTAACATGATGGAGCAGAGTTGGGAGGTGGCTCAGGGAGAACAGGAGAGTGGAAAGGTCAAGCTAAAGGGTAAGGGGAGGGGATGGAAGCAGAGATTACCTGTCAACCATGGCCCTTTGAAAACTGCGAGAAAAAGGAGTTGTGGATCTGCCTTCATCTACAGAACCTCACTCCCGTACCCTATTCTAGTGGGATACATAGACCTTTATCTTTTGAAAGGAAGTTATCAATTTCTAAGGGAGCTGAGGAGAAGAAAGCTCTACTCTTTTCAAAATGGATCAAAGAAAACATCAAGGGGTTGGGATGGAACGCATATTTGAATACCTACTATGTGTCATAGTCTCCCGCTCCTGTTATTAACTATATCCTTCTGTTCTATCAATGGCTTTTCCCAGTAAATGGTGCACTTCTGGTAAATTGATCTGGAAACCTCATCAAGGGAAACTCCTTCAACCCCAGCCCCTCCTTCCAACTCTGCATACCTCTTCTACTTTTGTCATCTTTTCCACAGACATGTCTATAGACTTGCTTGATATGGTCTTAGAAGACTGGGCAGGCTCACCTTTCTGTTTAGTTCAGTCACCGAGGTTTCAGTAGTCATAGCAACATTTACGCCTGCAACAATGACCCTGGGCCTAAGAGTTGATTCCTCACCTGGCCTGTTGCCCTGGAGACCTAAATCCTGGTTGTCCAGCCTTTTATTAGCAACACAGGCAATTCTATGAGCAAGGGATATAGTCCCTATTTCAGGATTTCTTGTTGGGGTCCTTAAGAGTATCTGCATGGTCCTATGTCCAGGACAGAGACACAGTCCCACCAATTCCCTTGATGTAAATCCTCATGCCCTATACTCTTATTAGAAGGGTCCAGAGAACTTATCATATTCCTGTTGTATTTTCTTTTTGTGTGGCTGCCCGGTACAAGTATCGAACTGTGCACCTTGGTGTCATATGCCTTTTTTTTTTTTAAAAAAAAAGATGACCAGTAAGGGGATCTTAACCCTTGACTTGGTGTTGTCAGCACCACGCTCAGCCAGTGAGCTAACTGGCCATCCCTATATAGGATCCGAACCCAAGGCCTTGATGTTATCAGCACCGCACTCTCCCGAGTGAGCCACGGGCTGGCACCATATGCCTCTTTTATTAAAAGACAACTGTAGGGCCGGCCCGGTGGCGCACTGCTACAGTGCGCCGCTTGGGAGCGTGGCGCTGCTTGGGAGTGCGGCGGCGCTCCCGCCGAGGGTTCGGATCCCACATACAGACCGGTTCCCGCTCACTGGCTGAGTGAGGTGCGGGTGCAACACCGAGGGTTGCGATCCCGTTGCCGGTCCGGTCCGGTGCGGGCGTGACACTGAGGGTTGCGATCTGTTGCCGGACAGGAAAAAAGGAAAAAAAAAAAAAAAGAAAAAAAAAAAAAAGACAACTGTAAAGGAATAAATCACGTACTTTATTTTTTAATACTTCTTTTTATTAAATAACTATAAAGTCAAACCAATGCATTGGCTTGTTAGGGGAAACCACTTCTTCATGCTGTCTCTTACCCTGGAATAGATTATATCATGTATCAGAACATTCCTTTTTATACGATTTATTCACGACAGAGTATGGAATGAAAGTGGAAGGGCAGATCTTTACAAGTCAGGAAAGTTGTGTTAATGATTTAACACATCCCAGTTTAAATGGAGTACCAGGGTAAGTTTCACATACCACCCATTTCCTCACCCAATCTCCCCACCAGTTCCTCTTTTATCAGTCAACACTGAGATGTCCAAACAGTTCCCATCCAGCCATATACAAAGGGTTACACATGGAAGACACCTCACTCCAAGTCTCACCTTTGAGATTAAATAGCCTGGAACAGGGCAAGAGAACTATGGCCAAAACCAAGTGAGATTTTTAATGAAGCTCTGGCATAACATGAAGAATAACATCTAAATTGAAATCCAGAAAAGAGTGCTACTGGGGAAAAATAAAATCTTAGCTGATGTTCTAAAAATGCCCATAAGAAAGGGTTGGGGAATGACCCTCTAGGCACAAGCTCTAAGAACTCTGGACACAATGGGAACTTCAGCTGATAACAGTCTGGGCCTGCTGAGCCAGATGTCCTGAGAGCTGTCCAGCAAGCAGCCTGTCTTGCACACTGTGTCTGTCTGGCTCAGTCCACAGTGAGAGTCCTTCAGCTCCATCACAGAGTACTCTCCAATGTGTTGTAGTTATCCTTAAAGCTCTTCAATTCGAGGAAGTGCTTGGCACGTTTACTCTTCTGACTGGAGGGGAGGTATGTCACCTGGATGGTTGTTGGGGAGACTTCAGGGGACTGAGTTAGGTCTTTGGCTGCTGACTGGTGTTGTCGCTGAGAGCTCCCAATTCGTGCTTTGACCCTGAAGATACAGAGGGGGGAGGTCATGGAGAGAAAGAGGACTAGTGGATACATTCAGGGCTTATCCCATCCTATAAATACAGCTGTAGCCACAAATGGTCTCTGTCTTATCTTGTAAACTAGTTACTAAAATCCTATTTGGTAGCTTGGAAATAACAGAGAAACCGATTACCTACTGAGTCCTTGCCTCTGGCTCAAGCTTTTCTTCATCTCACTATGCTTAAAGAAAACTTTAACTCTCCCGATTCACCTAATGTGTATATGCAGCTAACATACTGCCAGTCCAAATGGAGTCTCTTGAAAACCAAATACCAAAAAATAAGCCTAGAAGCAGCTATTGGGTACTTACCACATGTTAGAACATTATACTTTGTGCTTTACCAGTACTTAATTTACCAGCATCCCCATTATCTCCTATACTGTCATATCACCATGTTTTGCAGGTTAGGAAACTGAAGGTCCAACAATAACTTGCATGAGGTCACAAAGCTAGTAAGTAACAAACCTGGGACTCAAACCTAAGTTTGTCAGATTTCATAAAACCTTTCCGGAAACTAGAAATCAAAAAGACAGATTTTTTTTTTTTTTTTTGTCCTTTTTTGAGACCGGCCGCACCGCGCTCAGCCAATGAACGCTGTGAGCGCACTGGTCATCCCTATATAGGATCCGAACCCACGGCGGGAGCGCTGCTGTGCTCCCAGCGCCGCACTCTCCCCAGTGCGCCACGGGCTCGGCATGGACCTTTTGTCTTTAGGAGCAAGGTAACTCACTTTTAGGGACAGTGAGAAGACAGGATAGTATATCCCTTACCTCTTGAAAAAGAGCCATATTCAACACAGCAGAAAACAGATGTATTCTTTTTATGGCTAGTAACTAATATTTTTATTCTAGATTGGCTTTCCTTCTTTAACATTTCCATAAACAACATAACAAAACTATGTTAGTATATACTTAAAGCATTCCCAAACAAAAGTCATGATTCCTCTCCTAGAACACAAATGCTCAACAGTTGCCTCTACTGTGATGCCCTTTGTTTCAGAGAGGGTTACTAATGTTTTAAGTAGTAATAAAAATGAGTGGCATTTAATTCTTACTTTCATCACACCAAATCACAAAAGGAAGACACTGGGACTCTGGAACAGACAGAATCTCTGTCTGCTGAAAAACTTTATTCTCTTTGCTAGGCTATATCAACTGACATTTTATTGGGCTGGACAAAAAAAAAGATGGGACACGAAAGTAGGAGAGGCTTCTCTTATTAGGTTGTATAGTAGCATTTGCTTTCTAATGTGAGCAAGAGGCAGTTCTAATAGCCTAGAACATGACAGCTTTTGTGGTATTATTGATTTTGTTCATATTGCTATACAAAGATCATTTCACTGTGGGAAAAGTCCATCACTACTGTATTATCTAACCAGCCCCCTTTGACGTGTTGCCCTCCAAACTCACACGGTAGCCAGTTCACTCAGGGCCTCCTCATAGAGCAGGTACTCATTCTGGCCAAAGACCTTAGGAAAGAGAAAGGAACAGTGAGGATCTCTCAGTTTGGGATATCCCTTTAGTCCCTTGAAAGAAAAATTGCCCATCCAGCTTACCCCTGTTCCATAGCGGGCTGTCTCATAGCCATCCAATAGGGTATCAATGAGGGACTTGCGCACACCCTTGAAAGGAGAACCAGTGTTTCGCAGATCTAGCAGGTAGGAGCGGAAATTCTTTCCCATTAAGGAACGTGGATGCCGGCCTTCAGCATGAAATGGGATCTCTGAGGAGATAACAGCACATGATATCCTTCTCCCATTCTTTAGTCTTTCTAGTTAACTTCCCAAACTTAGAAATAGGTCTAATGAAATGAGTGAGTTGAGCTGGAGGGAAATTCTAACAGAATCAAGAAGATCAGAGGTATAGAGCTGTGCTTCAGTGGTCATTTGGTGGTGGCAAAACAACTGTAAGCTATACCAATGATACAACAGTGTCATCATCCTTTCTACTGTCTTACTTACCCATTCTGGCTTTATGATATAAACTATGTTTTGGTAGAGACAGAACATATATGACAAGTGATCAGAGAATGGAAAAAATTCAAGAAAAAGTGAAAAAGCAGATGTCACCTGTCTTTTAGGGAAAAGCAAGCAAATTATCACCATCCAATTAATGAAACTAAAGGTCTCAAGAGAGAAATTTAAAAAAACAAAAAAACCCCGCCAGACTTTTTGAGAATGACCTGCCTACATCATTTCCTTAGGCAAAAGAGTAACCTAGTACTCTCAAAACTCTAAGAAATTCCTACTAGTCAAGAATGTGCAGAAAGGACAAATCCTAACACATAAAATGAGTTCATCGCTCTGTTCCCTAGGTGAGATTTCAGGATCCTAGAATAGATCCTGTCGGGTAGCCCTTACCAGAGGCACGAATGGCATCCAGAGCTTTCATCCTGTACAGATAGTTGTAGCAACCTGTTGAGAAAAACACTGGTTTCAGGCATAACCCTCAAAAGAGTCCCTAAACTCCAGCAGGCTGATAAGCTACATCCCTGCATCTGGTACATATCCAATAACTGAGGAATGAGTGAGGTTTTGCACAACTGTTGACAACACTTGAGAGCAAAGGCATTCTGTGCTGGTGGGACTCCTCACTGAAGCACCCTCCAAGAGCTTGCCACATACTTTGATTGCCCTGGGTTTCGAGCTGTAGCAATCTAGCATCATCATCTGCAAGAAGCTGGGGTTCATACTTGATATCCTGAACCCTGGATAGTCGAATATCAATCTCCTCTTTCAAGTCCTGTTCACAGAGAGAAAAGAATACACAATCACTTAACCTGCACTCTGCTTCCCACCAATCTAGAAATAGGGCAGAGCACATGAACAACTAAGACAAGAGAAGCAGAGAAAATGCTCATGTATTTAATGAAATTGTCAGATAAGACACAAGGATAAAGCTTGGGTTCTCTAATAACCTCTCCAAGCTGTATTATCTCTAGATATTTTAACTTGCCTGAATTCCTTCAAGCTCTACAGCATCAATATTATTTTTCTTTTCTGGTGGCTGGCCGGTACAGGGACCAACCCCTTGGACCTTGATGTTATCAGCACCATTCTCTAACCAGCTAAGTTAACAGGCCAGCTCTTAGCATCAA